GTATTGGATAAGATGCTTCTTCCCCACCCCACCATCAACGTTTTGCGGCAATATGTTCTTCATTGACATGTGTTTGAATGCCAAAAGGAAATCCCAAACGATTTTGCATTTTCGGATTAAACCCCCACTAATTAAGACATCAAAATGGGTCTCTTTTCGACAAAAGAGACAGCCGCAGGGCTCTCCCTTTTTGCATAGAAATCCATCAAGAGATCACGTTTTCCATGTCCAGACACCGGACACAGAAACAATGGCCCACAGTTAACAGTAGTTTTCAGTTAATTAATTTCCAAATAAAAATAAACAATAGAGAAATATCAAAAATTTAAACACTACAAATCATGGTTTAATGTGCCCCCAAACGACCAACAGAGACAGAGCCACAAGCACTAAGAAAATGCCGTCTTGGCCATAATTAAATTGTCAGTTCCCCAAACATGAGTTTCAATATACGAGGTATGTCTGTGTGTGTGTATGTTTGCATTGTGGTCCCCGCCGAAACAGTTAAAAGTTAATTCGAAGAATCATTGTCATTGACTGATCGGCCAAAAGCGTTTTAGGAGGGAGAACACCACGATATAAATTAAAAAAAAAAAAAAAAGAGCAGCTTCTGCTATGAGTTACATAGATTCTCTATATATGTATGTACAGAAACATTATTTATACTATGGAGTTTCCATACTCCAAGTTTCTACTTCTGCTCCCTACAAAAATGTATTTGATTTCATATCAATGCTTTTAGGAAATTTGTTTTAATCTTATTGAGGCATTCAGCCGAAACTCATCCATCTAGCAGTTAGATCCCCCTCCAATCTGCCAATTAAGCTCCGCAAACAGCCACTCGGTCTGTAGGGTACTTAAGAGTCAACTAACCGATCATCTGGCATCATAATTAGCCAAATCTCGAGGCAGTAATGGATAGCGCCAAGTCGACAACACACGTTTTATTGGCTGGCAGCGAACGGACGGAGGGCTCTGGAACGGAGAGACTAAGAGCCTGGGCTCTGTTCTGGCCATGCTTTTGCCATTTGTTTTTATTGCTTATCAGCAATTGCTGCCTCCGCACTGGCTACAGCTACGACTGACTCTCTGGCTTCCTCTGCATCCTCCGCTGACAGAGCGTAACATTGTCGTCGTCGTCGTCGTCGTCGTCGTCGTCGTTGTCATCGCCAGCAAGCAATGTTGTTTGAGTTGAGATCTGGGCTCTGCTGGGCTCTGGGGTCTGGGGGATTGGAACGCGCGATGCGTCAGTTCGTTAGCTGTTCGCCCAAAACAACAACAAGAAAAGCAGCCACAATCGGGGCAGTCGAAGCATTAGATACCCTCTATATGCTGAATGGAGAAAAACAAAGCCTTGATCATTGGATACATAGTCTTATATTTAAAAATGTATACCAATATACGAGGCCCGCCCCAACTGTTGCAGACGCAGCATGCTTTATACGTTATTTCGCATCAAAGCGTTGCAAAAATTAAGTTTGAATCATAATACCCGATGGGAGAGAGTACCACAAACAGTGGCTGACACTCACATGTAGCGCCAGAGTCAGACCCTCAGCCAGAGACCCCAGCGCGTGAGAGAGAGAGAGCTACGAGAGCCACAAGAGCGACGTCATGTTTGTATGATTATGCCCGGAAGCACTAATTACCTTATTTACACTTTTATACTCTTGGCGAGCGTTGCGCATGCGCGGATGCCGATGGATGGAGTTCGGAGGAGATCGTAGATCGCTCGAAACAGTTGTTTATGGCTTGTGGAAGCTGCTGCGGTTACTGATCTTGCCACATACACACACACACACACTCAAGCAACTGCTATGTATATGAGTATCTAGCGGATGTTAGCTGCTCGTTTCACATTCAAAAAAAAAAAAAAGTGAAAATTTGCCAACTAAAATCTAAAGTACTGCAGAGAGACCTCGAAAAGCGAAAATCTTAATCAAGTCCTGCAGTTATAGAGCAAATAATCAATTGGCCGCCCTGCCACAAGTGGTTCCGTGTGGTACGCGGTGGCTCCGGTGTCTGCCTCCAGGCACAAGCCACTCACTCGACTCGCTGATAAAGCCGTTTTTTTTTTGGGTGCAGCAACTTGGCTTGGCAAGACTCTGTACTTTGTGCTGTGCTCTGCTACCGATTGCCAGTGATTAAGCCATGAATCAGCTGGCCTAGCAACGTGTAATGGTTCGATTCGAACTCTTTTTTTTCTCTTTTGGTTTGGTTTTACTTTGGTGGGCGTGAGCCTTGCAGCTAAAGGCTGCTTTTGAGCCGAGTGATTGTCATGCTATGGTAAAAATCAATTTTCCATCCAGTTTTCCATCTGTGCTCAGCTCAGCTCAGCGAGGTATTTTCTATAAATTTTGCAGGCGAAAGCTGACATGGAACTGATTTTGAATCAATTTCTTTGGACAGGTACTAAAATTCAATTCAATTGATTGCTCAAACTTCTAATAGAGAAACTACAATGAAATGTTGTCGAAACTCAAATGGAAATCGAGTGGAAGGCACCAGCAAAGTTTTAAATACTTTTCAGAAAGTATCAAAAATACTTCAATTGAGTGCTGAGGCATCTAATAGATGCTAAAACCACAAACGAAACGTGTCCAAATTGAAAGGGAAATCGTCGTCAGGTGGTGGTGCAAAAACATCTCCAATTTTCGTTGCATTCCTGTGCGTGCCCCACCCCCTTGGCAGTGGTCTGGCTGGGCTTTTTTGGAGATTTTTCAATTATTAGCAACGCCTAACGAATGCCAATTTTCTGTCTCTGTTTCGATTTCGGTTTCTGTTTCTTTCCCGTCTGTTTGCACATAAAATCATTTCTACCACAAAGCACGGAAGTGCCTTTGAGGGATTCAGATTCGAATGCAATTTGGGGCAAAAGCAAGAGAGCAAAAGCACCAGCAACAGCCACAGCAGTCCATTCGAAAATCCGTTCTAAATTGTGCAAGAATATTTTTATTGTGTTTGCTCTTTCGACAGGGTCAACAAGTTAATCACATTGTGTGGCATGAATATAATAGAATTCTTATTTTCCTGTGGTTGCTGCTTTGGCTGTGTGGCTGTAGCTGTAGCTGTGTGGCTGCTGCGCACGCGTTTGAGCCAACAACAGCCATCACTGCGGTGGGCGGGGGGCACTGGTCTCAGTGGCTGTTGGCTCTGTTGGCACGGAAACTGACGTTTAAAGCGGGTCCCAGCTGTCTGGCCTTTTTTGGGGCCAAGAAGTAAGTACGCTTTAGCCTTTGGCGTTCAAATTGGCAAATTAAGTCATACGCCTGCCTGGCTGGCTTGCTGGCTTGCTGGCTGCGGACTGCAGTTCTGCTGCTCAACATTATTTTGCAATAATTATTGATTTATTGTCTTGTTTGCTGTCCCATTGGGCCCAGGCCAGAAAGCAGAATCAAAGCGCCGACAAAAACCATTATCACATGCATGCGAAATTCTAGAGTTCCCATGCTCCAAAGATCATTAGTAAACGTGGCTAATGATGGGCATATTGGGGCTGGGGCTGGAGCTGGAGCTGGTACTGGAGCTGGGGCGGGGCTGGGGCTCATAGTTGGTAATTGGAAGGGCACGCACATTAGGGCGTGGTGCATTTCTACAGCTAGAAAGTAAGGCAGTTAAGTGGTGGGGCTGTGCTGGGCTGGGCTGAAAGGCGAACCTTTCCCTTTTGGCGTGCTCAACGCATTAATATTTCACGCCTCCCAATCGATGGGCCCCAAACTAGCGCGGAAAATCCAATAACTATCTGAAAAGTGGCGGCCGCTCATCGAAAGGTGAATGTCTCACAAGATTATGGTTTAATGGCTTCATTCGATTTCGCACACACACACTCACACACACATCGCACATCGCACAGCAACTGTCTTTAATCGGCTGTATATAGCTATATATGTAGTATGTATGCTCCATAATTTCAATTTGCATATCCGATTCGAGCGAGCCCCCACCTGCTGCGTTTTATGAGGCCGGTAGAACGGGTTTTTTTTTTCTTCTGCATTTTCCTGCGCGCTACCCACCAAAAACAAAATATTGCAAAATATTTTTAACGCCTTATTATGGAAAATATGTGCTACAGATTTGTTAAGGCCAGTGTCGGGTGGAAAACAATTTCCATTTCCTGACAGTCTCAGTCGCAGTCCCAGCTCCAGCTCCAGTCCCAGCTCCAGTCCCAGCTTCAGTCCCAGTGCTCGCCTCCTTCTCGGATCGCCTCCTGGCTGCCAACGGACAATTGTTGGCTGCTGCTGCGCTTTCTTGTGGCATGGCAGCGCGAACCCACTTATCTAATTGCGATTCCGGGAACTGGTTTTCCTTGATACATTTTTCTCAACTCATTAGAACTCAATCATAACTCGCTAGACACGGGACTCGTTCCAGCTCTTCAGCCTTTGCTGTTCGCTGCTTCGTCTACCCCGTTCCGTTCCGTCCCGTCCCGCCCCGTCCCTCCGTTCCTCTGACCATGCAATAGGCAAATGTAATCGTTGCTACATATTTTTTCCAGCCGACGCGCGCAATTGTTGCCGTGAGCAATTTCTAGCCAAGAAAACGAGGCAGCAGCTACAAGTAGGAGAGAGTTTTTGGGGCTATGACGAATGATTAGTACCCCATAAAATTAAATATCTAAAGGGGCAAAGTATTCAAGCAACCCTTTCACAGAGAGCACACCCGTTGAGCTGCTCCCGGTAGACAATAAAACTCTCTATCCAAATTGTCGCATATCTTACTTTAAGTGTAAGTTATAAGTCTTTCTTTTGCCTGTTACATGCATCTCCCTGTAACAAATACACCCCGTGTACATGGCACAAGCAAGGGGTAGCAGTAAAGAGCCAGAACACGCCGGACGTGTTCCATAAACAACACTTTGATTACGACAACGCGGGCGCACAAACGCAAATCGATGTTTTCATATGGAAATTGAATCAAAGTCAAGTCAACTCGCGGCTCAGGCCAGGCCAGGCCGGCCCCAGACCGGACCATAACCAGAGACCAGTCCCAGTTCCCCCCAATACACTGAGAGAGTTTACCCAGAATATGGAGCAGACCAGCATCAACAGCATCAGTGGCAACATGTGTAGCTGTTGTGGCTGCGCCCAGGCCTACAATTGAAGCTCTGGCCATGGCTCGGAGCCGCAGCCCAATTGGCCTTGATGTGAGGCGAGAGAGCCAGGCGGCCATGGCGTCAGCGCTTTTGTGGCCTGGCCAGTAGCCCAAGAAAGCGGCGACTGACATGGCTGGGCACCGGTCTCCCTCCAAGTAAGTCTTTTATGGTTTTCGCTATGATTATTAATCAATTCTTTCATATCATTTCGCTTGAATTGAATTCTTTTTACGAATCGTTTAAAGCTATAGAGCGAGCTGTCTGTCTGTCTGGCTGGCTGGCTGCCTCTTTTTTTCACTCTAATTAATTCAACAAAAGTTTTCTGGGCCGTCCATTGTGGCAGGGTTTTCCGCTTACAGTCGTCGGCTCCCGTTGGCAGTCGCTGCTGCTGCCGCTGCTGTTGCTGCTGTGAAAGGTAGGCAAGGCAGCCCAGGCCCAGCATTCATTATTCGTATGTTTATGTTTATTAAAATCCATTTAATTACTTTGCCCGTCGGACACACGCACACGCAGCAACAATTGTAAAGCAATTCCAATCGAATATTAAATGCAGAAAGAAAAAAAAAACATTAAAATCATAATAATAATTATTTATTAATGGAAAATTGTATGGCGACTGGCAGCTGTAAAAGCGCAATCGATTTGAATGCGTGAATGTGAGCTTAAAAAAAATAACCAAAAAAACAACATGATTACGCGCGAATGGTTTTAGAATTGCACAGATATAGATACGAATTCCAGAGATAAATGCGGTCGGGAAAGTAATTAAAAGCCTTGTAGATGCCAGCAGCCTTGCATGCAAATGAGGAACCTCCATGGATGGGGCGCAGCCCCACAGGAAACCGAAACCCTTGCCACATCTCTGCGCTGGAGCAGGTGTCGAAATTGACAGATGAACAAAATGCTCTCCTCCCCCCTTTTTCGCCGCTGAAAAACCGGAACTGGGCGTCTGTAATTGCCAAGGGGCGTGGTTAGTTGTGTATAAAAAATTACTCCAGAAGCGGACACAGCCTGAAACCCAATCCGGAGTCTGAGGCTGTCAGAGTCTGAAGCTGAGCCTGAGTTCAATTTAAATTTTAATCGCATGCCTAATAGACAAACCCGGAGTAAATGTCAGAATAAAGAGACTAAGAGCCGACTTAAATCATGCCAACATTTACAAAGTACTTTGCAAAGGCAACCACCACATAGATGCACACACACACACACACACACACACACACACAAACACACGTGTGGACACAACGAGGGATGTGTGAGAGTCACGGACACGTCGTCAGATATGAAGATGCGGCTACGCTGGACGATGGGCCCAAGACAAACTTCCGATCACGTTGTAAGTCAGCGGCGAAATTGCTAAAGACTGCGCACCCGTCCTCCCCATATAGCCAAGGCTTTCAGAAAAAGGGTCTAAGTCGTAGAGGGAAAGGAGGAGAGAGAGAGAGACCGAGAGAGAGAAAAAGTTAATGGAGGCAAATGCATCAAAATGGTTAATTGGATCTGGAACAGCAAATGACGAACACTTTTAGTGTTTATGGCAGTAGCCCCAGTGCAGGCCCATGCCCCATGCCCATGGCCATGGCCATGGTCCAGGGCCCAGACTCAGGGACTCAGACCCAGCAAAAGATTGCGGCAGATAGGCAAGTGTGTACGTGGCTTTGATGCGGCTCTGATGGCGTTGAGAGCTGCACACACTGCTGTGAGAGGAGTGGAGTGCAGTGAAGAGAAGTGGAGAGGTAAGGTGAGGTGAGGTGAGGACTATGCGAGGCATGCAGCACCACAGCACACAGCAAACAGCTCAAGTGGCAAGCGTGTTGTACACGACACGCATTAGCGTGAATGAAGTAGTTCTTGCTGTTGCTGTTGCTTTTGCTTTTGCTGTTTGTAGTAGTACTTGGCTTTGCCATTTTTTAATCGAATCCAATGCGTGGAGAGAAAGAGAGGTAGAGAGAGAGCCCCTCATCCTTAGGCCAGACAAATGTGCAGGAAAATTAATGGCAAACTTTGCAGTAATTTCCATTAAAGTGGGCACAGCTCCAAAATCCACTTGTTGCCTCATCCAGTAAGGCGAGGCTGGCCAAAAGGCTGGCCAACTTCCGTGTTCCATGCTCCCATAGCTAGAACAGATCTGTAAAATGGTAATGCAACAATATGGATGATGAGGTGCCTCCACGAGCTGTCTAATGACCAGTATATGATGGCTTTTTACTGTAGTGTACCATATATATGTATGTAGCTGTAGCTGTAGCAGCTAGAACAGAGGGCTCCAAGAAGGATTCCATTCCATTTATTTGAAGTGCTTAAATCCCAAAAATTTGTGCAAGACAATTCCACTTTCAGTTGTTTGGCAGCCAACTAAAACTTCTGTTTATAGTAGCCAAACATTCATGCCATTCATATCGCCACGGGCAACACGAATATATATTGATTTATACCCAGCGACTTTCAACAGTCGCAAGGGATACAGCAAGCCTGCAACAACATGGATATGGACTGCAAGTGGCTGAGAAACATATTTCCCTCGATACCCTCAAATTAATTAAATGTTTCCGTAGTGAACAACGATTTGGAGAAGCGTATATCGGATGCCTTCTGTGTGTTCGACCATCACGGGGACAAGTTCATTGATGTGCGCGAGGTGGGCACCGTTCTGCGGCTGCTGGGCTGTGTGCCCACCGAGGAGGAGGTGAACGAGGTCATCTCGGCCACCGAGTCGGAGGAGACCAGCGGCGAGGTGCATTTGACCAAATTTCTGCCGCATGTCTCGCAGCTGCTAATGGAACGCAAGTGAGTGGAAACGCGACACTGCCAATTGATGGTGTAAAATGTATGCAGACAGAGATCTTTCATTTACTTGCAGAATGGAACCTGCACCGCCGGAGAAAATCCTGCAGGCCTTCAAGATGCTGGATCCCGAGAACAAGGGCTACCTCACCAAGGAGACCTTTGGCAAGCTGATGATGGAGGAGGGTGAACCGTTCACCCAAGAGGAAATGGATGAAATGTGGCCGGTGGCCATCGATCCCATTAGCGGCCACATACCCTACGAGTTCTACTTGAATCAGCTAATGGTATGCTCCATTTACATTTAGCCCCCCTGCAATGGATCACAAATTAAATTCCCATTTTCTTGGTTTTCTTAGGTTTATCTGTAAATCCTACCAAATGGTATCCACTGATGATGGCAAGGGACTGGCTCTGGGAAAAATCTCTAAATAAAACACCGACAACACTGTATTTGATATTCTGCTTATTTCACCAAGAAAATCCTCTTAAGCTGCTGCTGCTGTTGCCACTATTGGCCTCCCTTTCAGCATCTCCCGTTGGCCTCTTGGCCACTTTGGCTTTGCATTAGCCTCAGTCAAGAAACACACACACTTACACACTTACACACATCCGCTGAGAGAGTGAGAGAGAGTGGACGGAAGGAGTGGCAATGCTAACTAACCAACCTAGGCAAATGCGTTTCAAAGTGGCAAACATAAGTCCACACTCCTAGCTATCCGGCTCTGGGCCCAGGACACTCTCAACAGAGATGCTGCTGCTGCTGCTACCTCTACATCGTTCTACATGGGGCGGAACGCGGCAAAGTGGGTTGCGCATCATTAGCACAACTAATGGATGTTCACTTTTCTTCGCCAGGCCAGACCAGGCCAGCCCATGCCAGCCCAGTCGTGTCCCAGTCACCAGCCAGCAACTGGACTGCAAGTTCAGGCTCCAAATTGCAGGCTGAGAGGCAACGAAAAATTTAAATAAATTAAAATACCTCTCGAACTCTATTTGCTAGGTATCGCCTATCCGCTCTCCGCTCACCGCTCACCGCTTGCTCTCTTGTGGTCGGCGGAGTAGTCGTGTTCTCGCTTCCGTATTTATTAAATTCTAAATACACGCTGATGGATGCACTTAACTGCATCTTATGGATTAAAATATTTCATGTATACTCTCTGTTGGAGTCGCCATTCCCAATCCCCAATCCCATTCGCATTTCGCATTCGCATTCGTGCGGCTGCCATCTGCACGTTCTGGCGCTTTGGCCAATTTGAGTGATTGCATTGCGCGCATTTAAATGGATGCCTGTTCATGAGGATGAGTTCAGAGAGAGATCTCTACGAATCCGAATCCCTCCCTCCTCCCTCTCTGTATTTGTAACTCATTCTAAACAAGTTCTACGTGAGTCTTTGGCCTGTTGACTGCTGGCAAGCAGTGTGCCTAATGGACTTTTAATCTTTACAACTTGTACACAAAAAAAATTTCCATCGCCGCCAAAAGAACTTGATTGCACAAATTGTCAGAGCCATAAAGCAAATCCTGAAACCATTTGAAATGATTCGCCTCAAAGGTCTCCCACTGTCTCTCTCTCTGAATTGGATTTGGGCAAGACCTGACCTGACTTTTGCTTTATGAACTGCCAAAAGAGTCGCCCACAATGTGGGTTAAGTGTCCTCCGCCAAATGTCTAAGCGGCTGAGAGTCTGACAGTCGATGGCGGGCGGTCGTAAAAAAAATGCAAAATGCCGAACAAATTGTCAAAGTTCGCTGCTGCAGAGTATTTCCGGAGAACTGCACCGCTGCGCGCCTCCTGAGGCAGAGACTCAGGCAGTGACTGAGGCTGAGACTGATGATGATTTACGCTCGACGAAGCGTAATTAAGATTTATGCTCCATACTCACTTGCAAAATGTATCTGAACCCATAAATACCGACATCTACATACAAACACATCTGCAAATTGTTGCGTACGAGTGTGTGTGTGTGTGTCTGTATGTATTGCATGCCCCTAATTGTTACTTATGCGTCTTTTGTTTGTGCGACATTAAAACTAATTAAGTAGAAAGAGTTTCCATAAGATTTATATGCCTCAATGATTGCATATTATTACAAGTGCTCTCACTCTCTCACTCTATCTCTCTCTGTCTCTTTCCCTCTCTCCTTGTGGCAAGGCTGTGTTGCAAATTAAAGCAATTAGTTGCATTTTAAGACATTTACCAATGTCCAGTGCACAATCCCCGCAGGGAGTTTTCCCTAATGAGTGGGCCTAGTGGGCGTTTGGGTGGGCCGCCTGCCTGGCCACAAATATTTATCCCATTTTGATTGATATCACCTTGAGGTTTGCTTGTCTTATTGCGACCATTTTGAATTATTCATATGCAGCAAAACCAATAAATTGACTCAAGATTCTATGCAAGATGCAATTTCTAAATGAAAATCACTTCTAACTACATAAAACCAAATCGCATGTTAAATATTCCCATTATTTTTTTGTTTGTTTTTTGCACCTGTCTAATTTTATGCACAGATTCCTTTCACGTTTCAGCTCTCCTCTCGAGATTTACTCCTCGCTGCCGGAATCCTTTTCCGTTTTCATTGTTCAGCTGCACTTGCCGTAACTTTCAATCAACTTTCTGTTTACCTACGCTCCGATCTGCTCCGCTTCTCTCCCCACCACTTCTCAACTCTACTCTTCGTGGTGGCAGCTACTTGTTTTGATTACCCCCCCTGCCACAACATAATGGCAGACGGAAGGAGCTCAGATCTCACCCAGTTACAGAGCCAACTTCAAATCAGACTTCACAGCTGCGTTGAGAACAAACGAAAGCGCATGCCGGGCTGGAACGGGCCCGGGACGGGACGGGACTCGTACTCGTAATTCCCATTTCGAGTGGTCTGGTGGTGCCTTTGCTCGCCGCTAATTGAATTTAAGCAATGAAATATAATTTGGATTTTTGCATGAGGCCCCCATCGCGTAGCACGCCAAAAATCATAAAAAAAAATGGAAGGGAAAAATGACGGAAAAGAAAACGAAACAGAGACAGAGGCAGACACCAGGGTAAAACATGAAATGAAATTGCAAAAAGGTGAACAACATGCAATGGATTGACTGACCGACTCGATGGGTTGGTATAGGATGGGTATAGAATGGGATGTGGGGCTTGGGTTGAAAATATACAAAAAAAAAAAAGCGTGGCCAGTGGCATGCAGCCTGCTTGCGTCTTTATTGTTGGAGCGCAGCCGCCATACCCCAGACCTCATCATCATCATCATCCTCGTAGTAGTAGTAGTAGTCATCGTCGTCGTCGTCGCTGCCATGTACAACACCCAAAGGTATCAGCAGACAAAATGCTAAAAATGTATTTACCACAAAAGCAACAGAAACAGAACAGCAACAACAGCAACAACAGGAACAACAACAACAACGATGAAAACGAAGACGACGACAGCGACTCAGCTGGGTTTTAGCCCATTGCGATGGCTGGTGGTGGTTGGCTGCTGTTTCTCTGGCTGCGGCTGCCCTTAATGGATCTGCAGCACTTTGAGTGATTTATTTCACACGTTGATGAAATGGACAGCAATGGGCCGCATTTTGACGTTTATTGCAGGCAGTGGCAAGGGCCGCAGCAGCAGCAGCACCAGCACCAGCAATGCCCACGGCATGTGTTCTGCGCATGCGCGCAGCCCTTCAACAACTGCAGCAGGCAACAGCAACAGCTAAAGCTCAGGCGGCCATGGGGCCAAGCAAAGAGGAGGAAAGAGAAGAAGAGAAGGGAGGAGGACGACCCTGTGCAGGTCGGTCTTCTTTTGGCGCCCTTTTTCTCAGCGGTATACAGAATATGCAGGAGCTTTGGGCACAAGGAAAACTCAACATTAACGCAAAGACTAAAACAAAAGAGCATCCAGGAACTGCCTTGACTTTCGATTTTCAACTATTTTTTTTTATATATATATATTTTCCCTTTTGTTGTTTCTTTTTGTTTTGTTTTTTGCAATTGCAGCGTGAGCCTTGCACGTCTTTTGGTAATAACCATAGCCCCGCAGACCTCAGACCGCAGACCGTGCTGGGCTTTAATGAGGCGCGCTCCTCATTTGGACGCCACGCATTTTGTAGCCGTTTTACTCCCAGTGTATGTATGCCCAGGCTGCATAGATGATGTTGGTCGAAGGGGGAAGGTGGCCGAACTCAGCTATTAAAACATTTAATTGCAACTTAATTAGTTGGAGCAATGAATGGAGACGATTCTCACGAATGCCACACTCTGCAAAATGCCGCAGCGATGACCTCCAGGCAATGTGGTGGGGGTCGAGGCCCCCACTCACGGAAAAGCCATTGAGGAAATCGCGCGCTGCGGTGACAAAATATCCAACCCGCCACGAGGAAAGTCAATTTAACACATTCACTACGCCTCTTAAAATGTTGATATTTTAATTAGTTACGCTCCAAAGGATTTTCCACAGCCAGCCAAAGTCCCAGGCCATCACCCACTCCCAAAAAAAAACGAAAAAAAAATAACAGAAATCTCTGGGCCCTGGATCATCCAGCCAGCCAGCCAGCTAGCTGGCGTTGGGCTGCTCAAGCGACGTGGCAATATGCAGCTGGAGAAAAATAAAGTGCCAAAGGGCACACATGGCACCGAGTGTCTTGGCTTTTAGTGGCTTTTGTTTTAAGCCATAAACATGGGACACTGGTGTGGAGGTTGCCAGGTTGCAAGGGGATTTATGGCGATATAAATTGGCAAATTTCAACAACGAGTTCCACAGATATCCCAACACTAAATATTGCGTATATTCGAGGTAAAATGTTGATGAAAATTTATGTATTTAGTGCGGGCAGGCAGTAAATCAAAATAGTGCAGGGTAAGGACATGAATCAGTGTTGGAAAATCAGCTATAAACGAGATAAATGCTGGCTAACAGCTAGGTTAGATCAGTGTTGGCCATTAGATCCAGCCCCCTTTCAGCCACACCCATGGCCCTGTGGGCACCCATATGCCAGAGCCAGAGCCCAGAGCCCCAGAGCCCAAAACCCAAGCACGGAGTTCAGTGCCAACAACCTACAGAGTTTTGTTTTTGTTCCCCCTCATCGGATTGGTTTTTATTTCGGTTTTATGACAGCGCAACAGCCACAGCAAAACTGTGGCAATAAGTTCAAATGGCAGGCCACAGTCTCTCGGGGACTAAATGCACGGCTTAATGTGCAACACACAGAGACTAAGACTAAGACTTGCAACAAAAGGCAAAACGAAGAACGAAGGAAGGCAGGCAGGCCTCAAGAGTCAAGCGCAGGCACCCCGGAGGTTGTTCCCTCTACATACATACATATATATATATATATATGTATATACCCATCCAGTGCCAAAATAAAAAGTGGGTGTAGCGGCACCAAATGCCATTGCCAACCTGGGTCGTCATCGCCACAGCAACAGCCACAGCAACACAGCCGCAACTGCAACGCCAAC